TGAAGCCTTTTAGGGTTCACGTGGTTCCCAAGGTAAGACGCCAGAGTCCACCAAATGCCCAAAGCATTTCAGATCCCTTTACCCGAACACCTCGTGGGCGAGATCTTCGCTCGCCGCACCAAGCGCTTGCTCACGCCGGGCTTCCTTGTGGCGGTCCCCCAGTGCTCTAGGATTCATTATTCTTCTTCTTATTATTATGATTATTATTTTTTCATTATTATCATGATTATTACTGCTATTTTTGTTATTAATACTATTGGAATTGAGTGGTTCTGAGGATCTACGGCTCGAATGGTCTTTGGCTTCTGGGCTGACGGCTCTAGATTTGCAAGGTTTTGCCAGAAATGAGCTGAAGGTTACCGCTGGCAATCACGCGCACACACACACAAACTCCCTGCAGCCCCACACCATCAGAGCTTGCAGGCCATGTGCGCAGTGTTGAGTTAGGGCTGTCTCTACAACGGGAGGTGCAACTGCAGAAACGTGTCGTCAGCTTCCATCGCTGCACGTGCCTTAGTTTGGCAATGGAGCAGGTTCCGGAGTACTAGTATCTTCCAGTTTGGCATTCTACTTGCATGGGTTTTCGTGCTGGCCAGGCGCTACCAGCCTCTCCTGAAAATATCCTGTGCGTGTCTATTCGGTCTCTCTCTTCCCTAAACCCGAAACCCTCAGCCCTATAAAGCCCAAACCGAAAGCCCTAAACCGGTGCAGCAGTAGTCTGCTCCGAGTGGCTTGAAGCTGCGCGCGCTCCTGAGGGAAACAGCAGCCAGGGCCCGCCCCCCTTCCCCCCTTCCCAAAAGAAAGAACGTGTAGACAAAACAAACGCAGCCAAGCACATGTGCCGCATCAAAGCAAGGGACGTTCAGACACTGTAGCAAAGACCTGTCCGAGTCGCACCACACCCCTGCACCGCGCGAATCCCTCTCTCATAGAGGCTGCATGCTACATGTTTGGCTGCGGCGGCAATCTATTCAACCCCGAGCGAACGATTTCTCGTTTTTCACTTTCGGCCTCCGGATCCTCTGCTTTTACAAGTTTTTATCATGTCGACACTGCCGACCCTTAGCCCGAAGCCTTTGCAAAGCAACGCGCAGCCAGATCAGCTTTTAATGGCGAGGTGCACGGACAGCCCAACGCAGCTCCACGTTGAGCCTGAGATTGTCAGAGTCCCTTGCCTGGGGCATCCTGGGTTCTTCCATGGTGCCTACACCAACTGTCATAACAAGCTTGCGTGATTTCTCTCTGCTTTTTTGCTGCGATTAGGCTGGCGAGGCCGTTCATCCGCGTCTGGTACTTTCGGGCACGAGAGGTGGCCTAAGGGTAGACGGCATGTCGTCACTCCATCAGTAACGAGAGCGTAGACTGCGCAAGTCCGCACCCTGGCCCTCGATTGCAGCGGTGGAATTTTGGCGGTTTGCCCCCATCGGCGCGCGACCCCTGGCGCTTGTGGATGGAGTGCGCAGATTGCCAAGAGCTTTTTGGTCTACTGCCCGAGTTGCTTGCCGGGTGGGCTCCCTTTTCCACAGGGCTAGCCGGCTATCCGAAGTGTGCTTCAAGCCTGCGGTTTGTACCAAGGTTGCCTGGTTGGACGAACGGCAAGGCATGATCTGATGGCTCAGTTGGCTGCTGCTGTAGCGGTCAAGGAAGCCGCACCCTTCTACAGCAAAATGCGACTGCCAACTGGCAATGCTCTGGAAGAGTTCAAGTGGGGCTCATCGGATGCAATGCTTTTTAGCAACCCTCATGCTCATGGTTGGCCCTCCGATACTTAGACGTGCAGCGTGTCAATGGTGTGCAGATTTTTGACGAGGAAGCTGACAGTGCGAGGGCGCGCTGGAGAGAACAAAGACGCTAGAAACCGGGATTGCAAGTTCTGGCACGGTGACGGTCTAAGGTTTAGAGGTTTAGGGGCCTAGGGTAGCGCAAAGGATGACATCCTTGTCGTCGTTCCATGAATCACTCTATACATGCTGTACATGCAGGGTGCATCTATTGGGACTACCTAGTCCACCCTGTACTCTCCAGCCTGATACTGCAGAGAGCCTCTGCAGAGCTGTGCCGAGTGGCTTCTTGGAAACACTTCCAAGCCACCTTCAGCTTGCCGGCACTTCATGTACCAAGCGCGGGTTTAGGGTTTAGGGTTTAGGGTTTAGGGTTTAGGGTGAGGCGCAAGTGACCGGATGCAAGGGTTCCAGGAGTGGCAAAAGCAAGAACTTCTGCAATTTAAGGCAACGAGCTTGAGAGAGGCTAGTGCAGGGCTTTCTTGATCGACTTTAGGCTCATCATGTGTTATAGGGTTTAGGGTTTAGGGTTCAGGGTTTAGGGTTTATAGTGCTTTGGAGGAAATGGCCTGTCCAGCTGGAACTTGCACCACAAGGCCATGACCTCGGCTGAGTAACTGCTCCATTCATGGCTGATGTAGCCGAGCACTGGCCTACACAGCACGCATGGCACACGAGCATCTTAAAGCCATTGGGCTCTGCACACTAGGCTTCCCTAGTACCCAAGATCGAAGAGAACAGTCGCAAGCCCCCCCCGTTTTCAGCAGAGAGTTTCTTCCCAAGACCTGGAAGAAATCCGCAAACACTTTTCACACACGAGATGGTGGCGGTGCGCATGATGATTCATGATTTATGAGACGTCCTTGATACATGCAGTTTTTACCTAGCCGCGAATGAGGAGTGCACATCCTCAAAGCCTAAGTTGTTTGCCCGTTGCGGTCTTGGGACGAGCATTTGCAAGGTCACGCTAGGTGAGCGCCGTAGATTTGTCCATGCGACTGCCGTGCTAGTTCAGATTTGGGGAATACCTTTTTTTTGAGGCAGGACGGAAGGATGGAGACAGGAGGCATGCGTTGGATGTCCAAGACTCCTGCGTCAGATCACCAGCTGTAAAGCATCAATCGCACAACACAGCACCCCAAACCCTTTGCAACTGGACTCCTTGCTGGCATCCTAAACCCTACACGCTAAACCCTAAACGGTTCTGGCAAGCCGCAAGGCTCCAGAAGGGGAAGATTAAGACGGAAGCCACCAAAGTGATCCATACCTTGCACTTCGGCTTTGCCACGCTTTGCGAGGCGTGATTTATGAGCCTATCAAGATGGCACCCCAAGACTCCATCAGCCCGCATTCCTCAACACCTGATTCGCTAAAAGAAGACATAAGATGTGTCGGACAGTTGCTCTAACTATGCATCTGTTGCTCTAACTATGCATCTGTCCGTCTGTCCACCGACTGCTATCCACCCATCAGTGTCTCTGTGGTCGATGTCTGCGCCTGCAACTTCATGTCCAATGAACTGTAGGGAAACAAGCCCGAACCCAACTCTGGACGGGCTCAAAACCCTAAGTGGCGCCTGAAGTTCACCCTAAACCCTAAACCCTAAACCCTAAACCCTAAGTGTCGAAGCTGGAGGCTTCGGATGTCCAGGACAAGAAGACCCAAGCAAGTGTGCCGTCCCAGGAGGAGACCTCGCACGCTGACGAGCAGCATAGCAAAGCCACGGGTACTGAACTTCCAGGCAGTCCTGAAACTCGGCCAGGCTTTGGTTTTGATTTTTATGGGTGGTGGGGCGGGTCTGGGATGTCCTACCTCAGCATTGGAAGATGTGTTGTCACAGTTGGCACATGTCGGTTCTGACCAGGTGAAACTATGAACGACATCCGAAGCAACCTATACTCCCCTTAGAACCTTAATGAAAAAGAACATTATTGTTAATATCCTCTTGGGTTTTATATAAACGAAAATAAAAAATAAGTCCCCAGGATATGAGGCCGTCCACCTGAAATGTGAGCTAGGTCTTCTTCTGTCCATGTGCACACCTGACTTGCACACTTCTTTTCATTGTTCCACCCTGCCCTTTTCAGCCCCTCTGTAGGGGCATGCGGGAAAGCTTCCTCTTGCCGCATGTGCTGCCCAAAACCCCAAAAAGTACCCTTCATGCCGACATCCTCCAGGGCCCCGAAGCAAAGCTGGAGTTCGGCCAAGGGTCGGGGCACTCGGCCTCCGTCTTGAGAACGAAAGGATCTGAAAACCTGAAAGAAGAGTGCGAGCCCTGACATGATCAGGGTTGAGAAATGTCGAGCCAGAAGCTCTGGGTTGGACACTTTCCAAGAGTTTTTTTCTACACGAAGAGCAGCCCACCCCCCCACCGTGTTGAGCTGCACTGAGGGCCATGAGGGCCATATGATGACACGGCACTGCTGTCTTCCACACCGGCTCCACACCAACAGCCCTCCAGTCATCGAAGCTCATGGGAACCCGAAGTCGGCAACCTAAACCCTAAACCCTAAACCCTGAACCCTGAACCCTGAACCCTAAACCCTACACCCTAAACCCTAAACCCTACTGATGCCCAAGAGACTGCAGGGTGGCAAGGCCAAATGTGAACAGCAACGTGGTGATGATCAACCTCGTTGTAGGGGCTGAATAACCTAGCCCCCAACAAGGTTAACCCTTGTTTTTGCAATAGAATCAAAAATACATATACATACATATATATATATATACACGTGTATATATATATATGGATATAATGTACTTACGACAGAGGTTAAGGGTTAACTACTCAGCCCCTAAGTCGTTCTTCAACAAGTCACACGTGGCACTCTGGGCTCTTTGTGTTTTTGCTCCCGACAAATGGAGAGAGCGACACTCACGGCTGCACCAGCTCTCCACGACTCTACATGCCCTTGTACTTGTGTCGGGGGTTAGTTGGTGAGCCGAGTCTGCGAGAGAGAGGGAGGGAGGGAGGGGAAGGAGGGGAGGGAGGGGAGGGAGGGAGGGGAGGGAGGGAGGGAGGGGAGGGGAGGGGAGGGGGAGGAGGGGAGGGAGGGGGGAGGAGGGGAGGGAGGGGAGCGAGGGGAGGGAGGGGAGGGAGGGGAGGGAGGGGAGGGAGGGGAGGGAGGGAAGGCGAGAGACAGAGAGAGAGAGAGAGAGCTCTCGAAAGTGAGGATCAGTGAGTCAGGCAGTCCAGGCCGTTGGGATGTCTGCTCCGGATCAGACTTGTGCTGAGACCAGTGGCAGAGTGTCGACCTGGCCTGTGTGGTTCGCATAGTGGTCACGGATGTCCTGGCATCTTTTCGATGGCTTGAGGGTTTGGGCTTCAAACTCATGGGACCCCACAGCTTTGTAGCCGTGTCAAGAGACGACTTGCAAGCGCCACCGTGTGCCACAAGGCGTGATGACCTAAGAGGACGAAATGAACCCTAAAATTGGGGTCATATACCCTATACACTACTACATTTCTATTAAGGTATACGAGCCCTAAACCCTTTTAGGGTTCATTTTGATCCCTAAGGTAGAGCATTCGTCCTCCTTCAAGGCGCCCAGAAGGTCTAACCGCAAGGCCAAGGAGTCCTCCAGTCGGCCGTCCATTCGTCCATTAGGGTTTAGGGTTTGGGGTTTAGGGTTTGGGCTTCCCAAAAAATGCAAATATTCTTCCTTATAAGGGCAATATAGGGATTATTTTCCTTTTTTAGGGTTCTTAGGCAAATAAGTAATAGATGTTTACGTTGTGGGCCGCAGCTTGAGATTGCAACCTCTTGGTAGGGGTGTACTGGGCGTACTCTCATTGCCCCATTAACACGGACCATTTTCCCTAAACCCTAAACCCTAAACCCTAAACCCTAAACCCTAAACCCTAAACCCTAAACCCTAAACCCTAAACCCTAAACCCTAAACCCTCAGCTCGCGCCATGCGAACTGAGCTCTCGAAACATCCAGGCTCCCAAGGCTAGACTCACTGTGTTTAGGGTTTCGACTCTCACACTGGCATAAGCGGGCGAGGCAAGTCCTGTCGAGATCTCCAGAGTGGGTACATTGACCACCAGTAACGAACCAACCAGGGTCAGCATGACCACCGAGTTTAGGGTTTTAGGGTTGGGGGTGGAGTTTGTTTATCTTCCTTTTTTATTTGAGGGGGGGGGGGGGCCTATTTTTCATAAGGAAAGCCACTGTGTCCGCTACATGCCAAAATAGGAAAGGGGCAGCCCCCCCATCCCCCCGCCAACAATTTGCAAACAAAATGCGGGAATGCTGGGTTTTCTAAAGGGTTCGTACGCTTCCTGATGCAATTCCTCTGGCTTGGTGGCCGAAACCGAAACCCTAAAACCTTAAACTCTACAATTGATAAGCTGACTAGAGTCTTTACCTTCAACATTGATGTTTGCTGTTCTGTTTGTGTTGGGAATTCCCAGGTGCTGAATCCTTCGACTGCTGACCTTAAGACCCCAAATTCCCGAAACTTCCCGAGCCCCAGCCCAACCTGCTGTAGGGCCACCTTGGCAATGTTCATGTTCTCCTGCGCTGGCAGGAAGTCATGCATCAGAAATGCTTTCCGTCTGTAATCTGTCATGGTTGCCGAAACAACACACGCATTGTGTTGGCTACAGAGTGCTGTGCCTGAGGGACGCGTTACTTCAAATCTTCGCCTTTAAGCTAGTGATGCTGGAAACATATGGTTTGTGCTTCCTCACAAGTCGCAAGCACATCGTTCCCTAAGATTTTGGAAGGGACTGTGGCGGAAAGACAACACTCCACTACAAGACAAATCACAAGCACGGCGCCCACCCCTCCCCCCCCACCCCTAGTTGGCTTCCATTCACGGCATGTATGAACTGCGCCGGCTGCTGCTGGCCGAGTTGCCTGGAGATTACTTTTCCAAGTCTTGTAACCAACCCTAAACCCTAAGCCTAAACCCTAAACCCTAACTCCCCCCCCCCCCCCCCCAAACTTCAACTTGAGCTCCCAACTTGAACCACCCCTCCACCCCCCGCTCCCGGTGCAGGGCTCGGGAAAGACCAACTTCAGAAAGCTGGCCGAAGTTCGCCTCGGGGTTTGGGGGAGGGAGGATTTAGGGTTCAGGGTTTATAGGGTATAGGGTTTAGGGCTCAGGGTTGATAGGGTTTATAGGGTTTATAGGGTTTGGGGTTCTTACTGTGGGTCTGAGGTTGCTTGAAGAGTGCAGGGTGCATGTGGGGGTTTGCGAAAGTGGGGGATCCCCAATATAGATCCCCAAATTGTAGGATCCCCTTATGATCAGGACCCCAATAAGGTACCCCTAATATCGTAAACCCCCATGTGGGAATATGTCCCACGCATGTAAGCGAAGCCCATACGACGCGCATGGACCGCCAAAGGGAAATCACCAGCCTGGATAGAGTAAATGTTTTGGCAGCTAAGTCGCCGTGTGGAACAGTGGGGCCCTATCGGTTATGTATGCGAAGGCTGCATGCCGCGAAGCACGTAAACCTTGCGCGTCAGCCCTCCCTCTAAACTCTAAACCCTCCAAAACGACCTGTTTGCAAAGTGGGCCCATGTATGGCCCATGCTTGTGCTCAAAACAGTTTCGGGAATCGGTGAGGGCCAGAGTGTTTGACCCTGTTCTGGGCCCTGGGATCTCTAAACTGCGTGTGCAGAAGCTTTCATTCCGCGAGACTGACATTGCCATGTTTCTACGCTGTGTGGCTCAAGAAGACATACGGAGAGCAGACCAATACTGACAGAGTGGCCAGGTGCCCAACAGCACCCAGAACTGAGCCCAAGTAAATCGACGCCATGGCTCCCAGGAATGCGCCGACGAACCCCTGCAGTCTACTTGCAAGTGCTAGTGGCCCTGGCTAGCTACTGCGACTGGCCATGCTTACCGATGCTTCAATGTCAAGGCTTTTGAGATTCGAAACCTGAATCGAACTTAAAACCCGAGCCTCAGTGATCGATGGGGTGGGGGAGGTGGTGAACTAAGCTGCAGCGAAACGCTTACCTGCAGACTTTTCACTTCTTACCTTGCATCGCAAGGAAATGGTTGCTCATCACCTGCGCTGGAGCCATCAGCGCTCAGCGCTCGGTGGGTTCGCAGCTTTTTTGGGTTTCACCATGGTTAGACAAGGCCACTCATCTACTGGAGGCGCTGGGCCATCAGCAAACTGCTGGAGTGTTTTACAAACATTCAAGGATGCGCGGCGCTTGTCAACGCCCTGCCAATGCTTCCACCACTGGTGAACCAGCAGCGAACTCCGAGATGTGGTCTTCCTTGGGGACCAAATGAACCCTAAACTTGGGGTCATATACCTATTACTACTATAATTCCTATTCAGGTATATGAACCATAAACCCTTTTAGGGTTCATTTCGTCCCCAAGGTTGGGCCTGTTGCACAAAACCCATGCCTATTCGGAGGGTGGTTCACTTCCCTGGCTCTTCTCTGTGAAGGCCAGCTGCCGCTTTTGCCAGGCCGCTGCATTCGAATTGGCTCGCTTCAAGTTTTGACATGGGAAAATTCGGCATTCATGCACTGTCCCGCAAACTGAAGCTTCTGAGCCTCCTAGACAGACTTGCGCGCCTGCTAAGATTGTGGCAGCTCTGGCCCGCATGGCTGTCGACAGCCTTGATGATTCACCATCCCAATCAAAGCAAACCCAAGGGTCACCGTTCGGAGTTACACGAGTTGCTGTCGTCAGAATGGACGTACCGGCGCACGCGGCCTTGTTCGAGCCGCGCGCGCTCGTACTTGTCAAACTCACAGAGTTGGAATTGCACGTCATGCCTTGGCAGCCCACCCAATCCCAAAGTACTACTCTACTCTGCTCTTCTCTACTCAACTCTACTCCACTCAAACTCTACTTCTACTCTAGTCACCCCACACAGCACACACAGCACACACAGCACACATACCACACACCTTGGCGCAGCTGCAAGACTGGTTGCCCTTCACCCTTGCTTGTTAAGACCAAGATGGCCTCAAGCCCTGTTCTCTCTTACAGCCTTCGTGCTATTCGAGGATCGGAACGACTGCTCTCTGCCATCAACTTGCACACTTACCCATGAATTTCTTGCAAACTCACACCTTCAAAAGTCCAGTACGTCTTAGCCTCCCAGCTACAACTAAACAAGTGCTGTATGACCGGTGTGTTGAGCACAGAACGCGCGGCAAGCTCTGGTATCAATACCAATAATAACTAAGGGAAGCTGGGCGGTCTAAAATAAACGACCCCCGGGATGGATCCAACAAAAACCCTGCCCCATCACAAAGACTAGGGCAATTAGGTTTAGGGTTTGGGGTTTGGGTTTAGGGTTTAGGGTCATCTGCTCCTTCCCAAGTCTGGAAGTCGGACTCCCTGCACCGCAAGCCCAACTCCAAAAGCCTGCTCTCTGCACTCCCTAAACCCTAAACCCTAAACCCTAAACCCTAAATCCCTCCTTGCTTGCTCTGGGACAGCATCAGCTCGCCAGCCGGACTGGCATCCTGCCACAAGAGAAGCCGAAGTTTGAAGCCCTAAGCCCTAAGCCCTAAGCCCTAAGCCCTAAGCCCTAAGCCCTAAACCCTAAACCCTTGGACTTGCTGATCCTCCATCCTACTCGCCGGTCCTGCAATTTTTCATTGCCCCTCTACATGAGTAGAAGCAAAACAGAGATGATCACTTCTCTAAAGTGCGGCCCCTTGGCGTCGCGCTACACTGCCAGGTGCATCTTAGAATGACCTTCCTTCCGCTCGCGCCATGGACTTCGGTGTTCTGGCTCAGCCCTTCACACTAAGAAACCTTCAGCAAGCGCAAGCAGAGTGGGACCACAAAAAACGCTTCTCCCAACACCATTAACAATCTCCACATCAAAAGCCCATACTTTTCGGCTCTAGGCCCCCAGGTATCTCAAAAGGCAGCAGCCCCCAAACCCCAAACCCCAAAACCCCAAACCCCAAACTTCCTACATAGAAGGCAAAGACGTCATCTTGCAAGCTGCCTCGATGAGATCAGAGGGATCCCAGTGATGACTCCGTTGGGCGTAGATCGCCAAGAGCCTCAGCTCGAGCTAGACTTAGGGTACAAGGTAAAGGGGGGGTGTAGTGGGGGGGGGGGGGGTGTCGGGGGTATAAGGGGCTAAGGAAGATTCCTTAGCCTTAAACCATATAAGGAACCCTCTTATGCTAAGGATTACTCCTTAAATGAAGGGGTCTGGGAGTCCCTGGAAGGGTATAAGCTGGGTATAAGGGGGGGTTAGAAGCAGGGTTTAGGGTTTAGGGTTTAGGGTTTAGGGTAGAATGGGAGGTATTAGGGGTATTAGGGCTTACGGCCTGGCAATCCTGTTCAGCTGTTCGCTCTCTCTTCCGATCCTTTCAGGGTTTAGGGTTTAGGGTTTTCGGGGCTTACTGGACACGTTTGCCAACATAGGCTCCCATTTGGGCAAGCAGCTCTTGGACGAATTGGTCCGAGATGGCCTGAGACAACCAGGACTTGGGCTTTGGCTTTGGGACCCTGGACATGAAGTCAAGTCCGCAATACCTAACATGGTGCCATGATCTCTGCCCTGGCACCGTGTTCAACAAAAACATCTTCCCCTGAATCCCTCCACCAAAAGAAGCCTCCCCGCTGCTCAAGGCCAACAACTACTAGAGAACCTCTAGGGTTTAGGGTTTAGGGTTTAGGGTTTAGGGTGAGAACCTTTCTGATTCAAGTTGGGGCTTCTTCACAATCCCCACCTGGCTGTGGCTGTACGCGTTCGAGTTGGTGGGTCTGGCAGCAGAGTGCATGAAGAGGCGTTGAGTTCAACTATATGATCCTCTCAAAATCCCAATAAGAGAAAATGTAACATGTCTCAATGGCCTGCTGAGTCCTTGATGTTTTGAGACATTGGGAGGCTTTAGAGATAGGATACACATTTTAGCAGAAGCCAAAGAGTTGGAAACTCAATAGCCTCCATCCCTAAGAGCAAAGTATAGGGAATCCCAGCACTATTTGTCCTTAAAACGGTTTCCAACTTTTTGGGGTTTACCGTAGAGGATCGCTCCAACCACTTGGAGAGATTCACACGCTATCTGTAAAAAAACACCAAACCTGGCAAATGCAGCTGCTTCTGTGGGCACTGCAGTGTTTTTCACAGGGGACTCGACTGCTGCCCTTATTCTGGATTTACTGCTCACAGGAATTTGGCACACATGTGTGCACCCTTACATTTGGGAGCACGCAAAACAGGATTCAAGCTGCAGAAGCAACAGTAGAATCAGCAAGGGTGTTCCGTAACCTGTGGAAGGCATTGATTGTTAGAGCCCTCTGGAAGCAGTAGGGCTTGGTGTGTCGCACACACACACACATCCACGTGTGGCCATGCCGGGTCGAGATGGCCAGCAAGGAAAACGAGAGCTTTTTTTCGGAGACCCCGCATGTCCTGCTCAGATGCAAAACAAGCCCATGGTGGGTCTAAAGATGGGAATGCCAGCGTGGACTCGGCTTGGACCCTTTGAAGACACCATTTTGAAGGCAAACGGCTTGTGCACCAGCACATCTTCAATAGTTGGCTGTGGAAATCCGCTCGCACTACAGCAACTTGACTTTATGAGTGTAGCAAGCTGCTATCGTTTCTGAATAGCCCCCTATTGAAGCGCGAAAGCCCTTAGTGCTTGTTAGCCCTAAACCCTAAACCCTAAACCCTAAACCCTAAACCCACAGGCACCATGCCCTTCGTCCGCGCCTGCCGTGTATTCGGTTGAGCCCGCGGCGCGCGCCCGGGCCCACTGGACACCAAAGGTTGACATCCTGCTCGGTTTAGGGTTTAGGGTTTAGGGTTTAGGGTTTAGGGTTTAGGGTTTAGGGTTTAGGGTTTAGGGTTTAGGGGACAGTAGAGTGATCAGTCAAGCCTGGAGGTTCTGAGTCCCTCTACTGCACGGGGGATTAAGCCGGAAGTTTTCACAACACATGTTCAGCAAACAGCAGAAACAAGATCAACAAACGAAGCAAAAAAACCAAAAGATCAAAAGCACATCGAAAACGAGAGGCAGACGAAAAGAGCAACGAAAGCGGAGAACCCAGACCAGTAGAAGCGGCAGCAGCAAGCATCACCCAGCACCAGCAGTTGCCCCCCACTGTTGTCTGACATGGTTGCAGGCCGTTTTCCAACCCTAAACCCTAAACCCTAAACCCTAAACCCCTGTTTGTTTTTGTTCTTTCCTGAATCTCACGCTCCCTGCTTTCTGAGCTCCCTTTCCTGGCCTGTTTGGAAACTCTCCTTCTCACATACACACAGTTTTCTCAAGCCCTCTTTCACCCAGCGCTGCATCCCCTAAACCCTAAACCCTAAACCCTAAACCCTAAACCCTAAACCCTAAACCCTAAACCCTAAACCCTAAACCCTAAACCCTAAACCCTACACTAGGCATCCGCTTCTTCCGGAACGGAAAGACAAGGCCATGGACACTCGTCATGAAGGATCAGACACCCAGAGAAAAAGCAAAAATAAGCCAGCGCCAACAAACTGATGATAGAAACAAACCAATTTATAAGAGGGTTTAGGGTTCAGGACTGAAAGAACATGACTTTTAACTCAGCCCGAAAGAAGCCCTTGAATCTCCGTACTTCTCTTAACATGAGAAGAGGTATCATATGGTTCGTGGCATTGGACCTTCAAGCACTTCCTGAGCACTTCCTACGTCGGCCGTGTGACCCCATGTCGTGACCCCCATCCCGCTAGTGGTTGAACCTAGCTTTAATTTCGGTACTCGGAGCTGTGGCACTGTGCCGGTCTGTGGGCAGCCGGGCCCCGCAATCTCGCTGTGGCACCGTGAGCATTCT